CTTCCTTCCTTCCTTCCTTCCTTCCTTCCTTCCTTCCTTCCTTCCTTCCTTCCTTCCTTCCTTCCTTCCTTCCTTCCTTCCTTCTCCCTCTCATTTGAATTGACTCTGGTAGCAGGTGAGTTAGGCAGACTTCTCCAGAACGACACATGGCAGGGATTAGATTCTAACTTCCTCAGAACTCGAGGAAAAAGACAATATCCCCTCTTCCCAAACTGCCAGGATTGTGGACTGTGGATCTTAAAACTGTGGCTGTTTTCACTTCAGAAAAGCTACTTTAGGCTATTATTTCTTTACATATTCTCATTTCCTCCCTTGCCTCTCCTACACCCATTTTTTTTCACAGAATTACCAGGATACCTGGGCTCAAGCAACATAAAGATCCAAGTCCCAGTGAAAAAAGGACCAAACCTCCAGACCATTCTTAACGGTCCTAAGTGTCCCCTGCTTTTACAGTGTGCAGAGACGCAACCCCGGTGCGCTTTGCAAAAATACGAGCTTCTAGACACTCACTTAGAGTGAGTAACTCGCAAATGATTCATGCCAATAAAACCCCTGTAACATCTCTGTCTGCTTCACGGGTGTGGGTGCAATGTGCTTACACTTCAGGCTGCATAAGCAAAGGTTTTAATATGGCCTCCACACATAAGCAAATTTCTAGATAGCTCTCTCATTTCAAGGCTGGAAGGTATAATTCTTGCTTTTCAGGCAGGCTCCTAAAGCTGCATCTGAAGGAAAGTAGGTTTTTCACTGGAGAACTTCCTTCATTTTTCTCTGTCAGCTTAAATTAGACCTTTTAATTTGTCTGACTATGCTATTTTAAATGCCTATTTTCTTAACTAGAGCATTGTAATTCTACAGCTTACATCCTCTGAGCCTTGTTACTAGGACTGATTGCTCTAAAACCTACTGCCATAGTTTTAATTCAAAATAACATATTTGATCAGGTACCGTGATGGGTATCTTTTCCACCCTTCAGAAAACCGCCTTTATGCATATTTATGCATACTTCCATTTAAAAAAATACGGATACCAAGAGCAATCTATCAAGCTGTCAGGGATTTTGCTACCAGGCCATATAGCAGGACGATGTCGCATGCCTATTTGTCAAGTGCCCGGCCACTCTACCTGTATTTTCACAGCGTGTATCACCTTCGAGGCGTCTTTCATGAGAACTGCCAGACCTGGAATAATCATGTTTTACATTGAAAGCACATGCGTTTTTCAGTAATAGGAAATAGAGTGAACTCTCCCTTCTGGAAAGCCTACCAACCCAGACATACACACACACTCATACACGCAAAAGCCGATTTATCAACTATCCTATGCTTTTTTTTCCTCAGGGATGACACCTTACTGCGACGGCTCGGGGAAGCTGTAGTGGCTCTGGGTGAACTCTGTACCTGCCTGCATTGATGTTAGGAAGGAGCTGCCGCCTCCACCCCTTCCCTGCCTCCCGGCCTCACACTTGATGCCGGTGAGCTAGCGCCCCGGAGGAGCTGCCTTGCCAGAAGGGAGATTATCTTGTCAGTGGAGCCACTCAGCTGCATCCGTGGCCATCTGATAACAGCTATTTAGGGGATCACCCAGCAGAACAGGAGTTATTAAAGCTCAAGTGCCAGGAGCTATGTCTTGTCAGATATTTTCAGCAGCTCCATCTGAGACACGGTACCTGCAACAGAGGCAGGAAAACCCCACTTTCCTGCTCAAATAGATCCCAGCAGACTCAGAAGCAGAAAGGATTGAGACTGCTTCATTTACGGAGCTGTTTTTCTTTTATTAAATTGCCCCCCCTTGTGCCTTCTTCTTTAACTAAAAGCAGCAGCGTATTTAGGAGCACTGTGAAAAACATATGTATGCGTATTTTCTCAGCTCTCATGAAGGATAAAACTGTAATCCAGAAAGTTTATTCACTCAAGGAGGTTCTAGGGAAGAGGCACAAATTATGGAAAACTTTGAGAGTAACAATCAGGGACAGTACCTGGACTGCAAGTGCAGTACTTGGTCTGCAATTCTCTCAAGATGCACGCCATGGAGGGTATGAGAAACGAAATTTAACTCTAAAATCCAAAGAAGGGAAGTGCTTAGACTTGATTGAGAGGCCTTGTCTGGTACCAGATCCCTTGGAGTCATTTCATAGGTGTCTGAGAGGGCATAGCGGGCCACATCCCGTGGCAAATTCCTCATGAGGATTTTCAGCAAATGCCTTTGTCACAGTAACTCTGATCCAAAAGAAACGGTTAGAAACCATTCTGAAATATGCTCTGGGAAGAACAGCTGTTTTCTTTTTTTCTTTGCCTTTCTTAGGAGATGAGACACAACAACTCTTCTCAAGACAACAGCGTGGGAGTGACAGGAGCGTGGTCATCCTCCTCCTGCCCCTTCTTAGAGGCTGTGGTGAGAGACAAGACCAGAGCCTTGTCTGTGCCTTGCCGGATTGCCTACCCACCTACACAGCAGCCCAGTGTTTGATATGGCAGCCTTCCTCCTCCCTCCCTTTCTGCCAGACAAGCCAGATGACCAGGACAACAAGGCAGTGGTGGAGGAGTCATTCCTATCAAAACACAAGGCAAGAAAGCGCTTTCTAAATTCATGGAAAACAGAAGAGTGAATGGACTTGGTTCCACATGGAGTTACTGTCACGCTGTTCATGCACAGTGGCACTGGGAAGATGTGACAAATAATTTCCTTGGACAAGCAATGCACCTATTTATAACCTTCCTGTCCTTCCTCCATTTTCCCTACAAGTAGATTAATGTTCTACAAAGGAATAAAACAGTTATTCTCCTTGGCAGTTTTTGACAAAACATCTCAAAGGATCTTTGAGTGATCATTTA